CGAACGAGGTCGAATTCTTCTTTCGGCGATGGCCCTTGGCCGTAGGGTGTTATTTCGAGCTTAGGTTGAAATATTGACCCGTTGTGATTTGAATGAGGTCGAATTCTTCTTTGGGCGATAGCCCTTGGCCGTAGGGGTGTTATTTCGAGCTTAGGTCAAAATATTGACCCGTTGCGATTCGAACGAGGTCGAATTATTCTTTTGGCGATGGCCCTTGGCCGTAGGGGTGTTATTTCGAGCTTAGGTCAAAATATTAACCCGTTGCGATTCGAACGAGGTCGAATTCTTCTTTTGGCGATGGCCCTTGGCCGTAGGGGTGTTATTTCGAGCTTAGGTCAAAATATTAACTCGTTGTGATACTGTTAGATTTTTTGGAGAATTTCACAGGTCGCCGTACTGTTTGTATATACGTCAGAGTGAATCCCGCGTTCTCGGTTTTGTTTTTACCGGAGAATATTGGGTGTTCCCTGGGTGAGTCCCGGTTTGCTTAATTTTGCTTGCATTGTAGAATACGGTGTATTTTCTGGGTGAGTCCCAGTTTGCTTAATTTTGCTTGCTTTGTAGACTACCTTGATGGGGAGTGCAAAATGTTGCTTTGTTTCATTCATTGGAGAGTACTATACATGTCTATTTCATACATATATTGGAGAAGTTTCCCTGTATCTAGTCCCTTCATCGTCCGTCCTGGAGAGACAATCGGCAGGCGGGGCGATGAACTATACTTTGAACTTCGAGACGTCCCCTTCGTCGCCTCGTTAAAATCCTACCCGGGAAAACCCGATTCGGACAATATCCGGGTGAGGGGAAAAGAGTATGATTTTGGGGGGCTTCCTTTTTCAGAAGTTGAAGTATTTGAGGTGAGCGACGTTCCAATTGTTTGGTAGTGATATTCCTTCCATTGTCTCTAGTTGGAGTGTTCCCTTGCTCGCTTGCCCAGGCAAGTGCCCGTGTTCCTGTCTAAATCAACAATACAGGATAGACCAAAATGAAATTTTCCGTACCTCGCTCTGACAGGTCAGCGAAGAGAGCTTCATTGTAGTGTTACTCGCCCTGCCTGGTTTTAGATTTGATGGCCGTGTTCGGCTCCATCTGTAATAGCGTATGAGTTTCGCGCGGGTCGAACCCACCTTGCTTGTTGAAGTGTTGGAATCGAGTCCCGATCCGATCTCGTTCGATTTATATCCGCAACAAGGGACATGGGCTAATATGTGTACCCATCCCACTAGGACCGTGCGGTAAGCTCCCATCCTTTCATAAAGGTTAGGAATACGGGCTAATATAGGTTAATATAGGTAAGTAAGATGCGTCGAATGGGGATGTGGCCATGCCAGATGACCATGATCTTATTTCAAGCGTATGTGTGTCGTGCCAACCCTATCGCTATTGGCGAGATGTGGGTTTTGCAGAGATATTGGTTGTAACTTCTGCTCTTATATGGCAGCCTGACTTGGGTTAGTATTGTCGTCTTCGACGGTTTATTTACCACTCTTTCAAGTGGGTGGCGGCGTTTCGCCGATTCTAGATCTGAAGAAAATTAAGAAATTTGGCTAAGAAATCCCCACAGATGGCGCCAAATTGTTTAAACAAAAAAGTATAAAACCCTCTTGTCGAACTAATTGTTAGAATTAAAGAAGGTAAATCTTAGCTAAACATAATTAATCCCAGATCTAGATATGCAGGATAGATAAAGAAGAAGAAGAATCACGGATAATATTTCTTCATACAATAATTATACATCAATCATATGTGATAAGCTTACATCTATGACCGATTCGTATCATGAACATGGGAGAAATAGAAAAGAGTGAGGGAGTTGTTCTTTCCTCAGAGGTTCTCTTGATTCTCGCCCCTCCCCCCCCCCCCTCCCCCTTCTTTTGGGTTTAGCTACCCTAT